TCATCACTAAGTCTCCTTTTTCGACGACCGTGTCGAGAGTTGTGATTATGGATATCAGAAATATGATGAAATATAGAACAGTAATATCAAACACCTGATGTTCTTTTCGCCAGCTCTTTGGTGAACGCCACGCTCGCCAACTTGCTTCGATCATAGGCAGCCTTTTTATTGTAATCCGTCAAACCGTTCAGATCTTCAAAATTCACGTGACCCCTGCAAAAATCAAATCTCGTTTCAAAACCTGCATGACGTCACAAAACAGACCGACCGCTTGTACGTCATATCCGCAACGTTGATAATTCGACTGGGCGCCGAGGCCTTCAATTTGTCGAGTAGCAGTGAGGTGAGAAGGAAGTGACCTTAAATTGAGATGAACTTAAAACAATAAATTTCAATAAAGACAGAAGTTAATCCCAATGTTGTAGTGTAGCTAAAACGCAGTAGTTTTCTTATTTATAATAACAAACATTATAGGGATAAGTACCACTGTAAACATTATATTATTCTTTATTGCTTTTTGACCAGCTTATGAGCTGGAAAAAATGCAGCTATATTACAAAAGCATTAATGACAGCAGTGTTACATACATTACATACATAAACGTAACCACTATGATATTATTAGTTGTAATGTATACCATAATCAAATAAACATATAAGCCATCAATATCATAAAGAAGAGGAAGTTCACAAGCAGCGACACTTTAAAACAGTGCAGAGAGCTAGAGACTATTGCAGGAACAGGAGAATGGATGGCAGGTAACGTCTACTTCGTTCATAAGGTATTGATAAATGCGTTCCATAAGTTTTTTGTTATCAAACTGGATAAGCATGTTTGCCAAACACAGTGTGAGAACCCTCAACGGTCAGCCTAAAGAAACAAATTTGTTACTATGTTCGATGAGACCATCACCTTGAGCTGCTTGCATAAGCAGAAAGTCTGTGGTTGATCTGATGTCTGCTGTATTTGCAGCTTTTCAACACTTGCTGTAAGGGCTAGAGAACTGAATCTTAAAGGAAACAATAAGCCTTCCCTGAAACCAGCCTCTACCAAATTCATGAATATTCCCTGACGACCTCCTGGTCAACATCCAGTGTTTCAGTTCGAACAAAATAAGTTAACTGACAAGAACAAGTGTTTTATCCGCCAGTAGGGTCAACCTCATTTTCTTAATCTCCACATCAGCTAAGGTAACTTGTGACCCGAAAATAAGAGTCACTCCTTATGTGCCCGTCGTGGAAACAGCAAATTACGAATCAGAGGGTAGAAACGAAACTGCTGAAAGGTACAGTGTCGCAAAAACTCTGTCACAGGCATGCGGGATCTAAATTTCACGACTTTTATAAGCGGAGAACATGTAATTGTGAAGACAGATCATGTCGAACCGAACATGTAGGTGTCTATAGAGTATGAAGATGTAACAGGTTTAAAATTTCAACTCTTCTAGAAATACGTAGTACTGTAGTCACAAGGAGGTAGATGAAATTCACAAAATCTCGGTTTACAAATTCAGGGTTGCAACTGAAAGAAGCCAATAGTGATGAGCATTCTGTCACAAAAACCCTCCAATTAAGTCAAAAATTCTAATTCCAGGAATTAACGGTTGACAGGACATGAAAAACAGTCGCGTCCTCAACATCTTACAGACATCCGATTGGCACCAAAGAAATCGGCTAAAACCTTTATGGCTACACACGCTGAAATCACCCCTTGTAAAATGCCCGTATAAAAGTACGATAGATTAAAGATATATTCAAAATGGTTAAATGGTTTGAAGACTATCAACCTCATCCGGTGTCTGAAAAGAAAATGGAAGCCTATGTATTAAGTTGCAGATCCGCTAAACCTATATATCACACCCTGATCAGAATAACAAACGAGGTACAGATATTACACGCACATAACCAAGCCATGATAACATGGGATGCTTGGGATATTCGGTTCAAGAGAGCTGATAGCAGTACAATCAGTCTCGACTAAGACATTTAACACTAACGCCCACGAGTATTTATCATAATGAGAATACCAAAAATCACCTTTCAGCAAAGCAACAAACAATGACCTATTCTTTAGGATCTAACCATCCTAAGCGATGAAGCTCAAAGTAAGGAAAAATTACTATATTTTCACAGCTGTAAAACCGCAATAGCATTGGAGTATTCGCAAAAATATCACAAGAAGTACCTGATAGCAAAACTACATGAAATAGCTTCAAAATATTAATAGTTAAAATATCAAAAGAGCTATTGAAATACCCACCTAAGAAATTAGCGGCAAGATGAGGTTCGAACCCGTCGACGGACGGCCTTGGAGGTACGTACATGATGCCAGCATTATTGATCAACAAATTAACTTTTGGCTCGCCTGTTTTGAAACAAAAGAGAAAAGATCATAGAAAAGAAAGCATTACTTCAAAACAAATAACAACTACTCACGAACCAAAACTTTCTCAACAAACTTCTTAACTGATTCAAGTGATGCCAAGTCGCACTCGTAGCAGACAACTCTTTTATTCCTTGTTTTCAAGACAATTTTCCTCCGCTGTTCTCGGCACCTGTCCGTATCGCGACAGGCCATTATCACTCTGGCCCCTGAAAGCGAAAACGACTGTTCAGTAGCAATCTGCACTGTATTAATAAATTAATATATCAACTTCGAGCACTAACGTATTAGCATAAATATAGTATTATTATCTGGTCTAAAACGAGCCATGTTCATTTAACCTACTCCGGTATATGAACATATTTTGAAGTTCATGTGAGAGTATATACGGAGCATCAGGAGCTTCTAAAACATCGTTTATGATTAGCGAGAGGTGACGTAACGGGCAAAATGATGAGAGATACATCTGGCACTGCAGGTGCTCATATCGAGTCGTTGCACAATATATCGTGAAATCCTGTGTTTGAGGAGTTTATCGTAAAATAATATTTAAGTGGAAAATTATTATGCACTGACAGCACATACAGCAGCAGATACAAACAAGTGAATATGATAGAAGTAATAATAATAATATAAGTAATATCAATCACAACAAAATATAATAATAATATAATGTAATATATATGGTATAAATGTTTAAACCCA